CTCCTCTTTCACTAACGCTAATGGATCCAGTGATCTGCTCTGCTCTAAAGGTTCCAGAAGGATGATCGAGACTGTTCGACCGGTGGGGACAGGCCGACTATTCAGCTCAGGTTTTTCTAAATATTTTCAACCACACAATAACAACCCTAAAAATATAGGAGGACAAAACATGAGAAAAGAAGGGAGAAAAGTGACAAAACATAGCAGAAACAAGAGGAAATCCAGAACAATGAAAGAGTGTCAATTCTGTTCTCTCCATAAAACTAAATATCTCCATCTAAGACCAAATGTGACTCCCCTTTGGCCACTTGTGGTACCATCGTGGACCCCGTGGAACCAATGCTGTCGACCGTGGTCACAGCCAAGATAGTCGCTAAAAAAAAAAAAAAAAAAGACTACTCTAACTATGCCTAAGCGTTGTTCTAGTCCATCGAGGTTGGGTGTCGCACTTAGTCTTGTTTCTCTGTTGGTAATTTTTTATTTTCTTATGGTTTATTCTGTTACTCTAACTAAATCCCCTGAGGGTTGACGCCATTAGAGGAGGGGCTAGACAATTGGATCCTTTTAAACGCCGGAGGATGGACGTTTCTTTTGTTTTTGATTTTCTATCTAGCAACTCTAATCGGTGATTCATCTGGCACTGGATATCAAATCTTCCCTAAGCCGGTGATTTATCATCGTGGCGAAGACACTGCAGCGATTTGATACAAAACTCCACTTCCCTCCAGCATCCCTCTCACATCCCCTAACGTCAGGACCCCCGGGTATCAGTAATCTACTGCAAATTTAATACTTTTAATCTTCTTCATTTGAAGAGTCTTGCAACACAGGTTCGACGACAGATCGTGCAATATCCAAAATCTTCTACGCTCCGTGATTGAATATTTTCAATCGACATCCCCTGTTTTGACTATCAGCCACTGCTCTATATCAAACGACATCTCTCCTTGTCTTCTCCTACTCGGGCCTTTGGATTAGTCTTCCGTGTGACAAAAAGAGGAGACCGGATATATCTCCTTCTTCCTCTTAATATCTTCCAAGTGGATTACCTTTCATAGCCCTACCCAGATTTCGAGTCATGTCCCCGTGACGTGCTACTATCATTCCTTGTGGCGGGACCTCTACCCCTTCTTTCCTATCCATCCGACCATTCCCTCCCGGTAGTTGTGTCCAAAGTACCGCTACACACAGGCTATCCTGTCCTTGCTTAAGAGCTTTTGCTGTCACAAAGTTCCACGAAGGTAGGATCTTGGCAAAGCTTCTTGTTAGCCATCCAGTACTGATCTAACCGTCTCGGTAGGCTACAACCACGCGCTCGCTCAACCAAAACTCTAGTCGCTGGCTCGACATAGAGCAAAGAAAAGGAAAGCAAAGCAATAATAACTCACAAGGAAATATCAAACAATCAAGAATAGGATGCAGAAAGAACGAAGGTAACACGAAGACCCAAAGAATTTGCTTAGACCCTGTTTGGCGAGTCACGTAAAGAACCCAAAATGGCTGGTGGTTATTTCGATTTACCGGTCGCCTCCTCGAGGCGCTCAAGCGTCACTGAAGTACCTGATGGGGCAAACAGATCCTCTGCAGGGCCGCGTGTATCCTCCCCACCATCACCCAATAGTGAAGCCCTTCAGGACCGATCGATGGACCTACGCGGAGCTCAGGGCAAGCATCGGAATGCCGGCATTCTCAAGAACACCAATCGCGTTAAGTTTACTGTTAGCGAGTATGGGCTTGGCGAGGTCCCCTCCGGATCGACGTCAGAGAGCCTGTTTGATGGAAGGGGCTCATCATTGCCGCAAAAGCCCTTACCCACTGCTAGCATTCCATCGACGGAGAAAGCATCCGCCGAGCCCCAATCGTTTCCCTTGGTTGATATCAGCAGTAGCTCACCAACTGGTGTCACCGGCCGAACGATCCACTCGCGGGCTAGCTCCCCAGGAGTCACTGGGGACAATGAGGTCAGCTATGAGAAGGGGAGGGCCATATACTCCGCCCAAGAGAGAGCTCAGAGGCTCGCATCCCTCCTTGGTCGCACCTCAAAGTCTCCGAAGCCAAGTCCTCGTTCGAGTCTGCCGTCATCAATAGCGTCCACACCTACTGAAGTGGCGCTACCCTCCGAGGATGGTGACGAGATTCCTATGATCAGTCTTCCCGAGAAGCAATACGACTTCTTCTCCGACGATGAAGACAACCTCATAGATAAGCGACAATCTACACGCACTGCAGAAGCCCATCAGCTAGTGCGACAAATGACTCGAAAGGACTTTAGCTTTTTCTCGCGCATCCGCGCTCCCTCTCCCGGCCTCCGCTCTGGTCAGATCACTCCTCTTGAAGAGAGGGATCCCGACGCCTATGTCGAACGGCCAGCTCATTATCGCGGCGGCATTCTCTCTACCCTCTTGAAGCTCTATGATCAGCCCTCTCAGCAGAACTATTCTCGAGGCCGGTATGGTCACTCACGTCAAAGCAGTTCGTCGGGACTTAGTGGGCGAGGCTTGTCCCCGGACCCTGGCTGGAAGCCCCAGCGGCCGAGGAAGTGGTACGAGAAATCTCCGAACCAATCCAGCATATCTCTGTCTGGATCGACTGCCAAAAACTCCTCTAGCTCTCCTATCGCCATGCTCAAGCGCTCACGAAGTATTGGTGCTATACCTGGTATGCCTAAGAGGATGGGGAAACCACAATTGGAGGATGAGATCCGCATCACTGTTCACATCGCCGAGCTCCTCTCACGCCAGCGTTATCTACTTCTACTTTGCCGTGCATTGATGAAATACGGAGCACCTACACACAGGTTGGAGGAGTATATGAGGATGTCTGCTCGCGTTCTAGAGATTGACGGTCAATTCTTGTATATGCCGGGCTGTATGATCATTTCCTTCGACGACGCATCTACCCACACTACCGAAGTAAAGCTGGTCCGCTCTCACCAGGGTGTTGACCTGAGTCGACTGTCCGACGTTCATCAAATCTACAAGGAAGTGATTCACGACGTCATCGGCGTCGAAGAGGCCACACAGCGGCTCGAGGAGATCATGAAGAGACCGAACAGGTACCCGGTTTGGTTCCTGATTCTGATTCACGGCTTCGCCAGCGCCAGCGTTGGGCCCTTTGCCTTCAATGCCCGCCCCATTGACATGCCCATTGCTTTCGTGCTGGGATGTCTCCTGGGTATTCTACAGCTGGTCTTGTCCCCTCGGTCCTATCTCTACTCGAATGTTTTCGAGATCTCGGCAGCGGTCTTGACGTCATTCCTAGCCAGGGCTTTTGGAAGCATTCGCTACAACGGTGAACGTCTCTTCTGCTTCTCAGCATTGGCACAATCGTCAATTGCCCTCATCCTGCCTGGGTACATGGTACTGTGCGCTAGCCTGGAGCTACAATCACGCAGTATCGTTGCGGGCTCCGTCCGCATGGTTTACGCCATCATCTACTCTCTGTTCCTTGGATTCGGTATCACAATTGGCACTGCTGTATATGGCCTCTTGGATAGCGATGCATCCTCCGATTACACATGCCCCGCCAGTCCGATCACCAACGAATACCTCCAACATTTCCCTTTTGTTATCCCTTTCACCATCTGCCTTGCCATTGTCAACCACGCGAAGCTGAAACAAATTCCAATGATGATCGTCATTGCTTTCGCGGGGTATGTAACCAACTACTTCGGCTCCAAGCGATTCTATTCGAGCACACAAGTGTCCAATGCGTTGGGCGCCTTCGTGATCGGCGTTATGGGAAACCTCTACAGCCGACTGCGACACGGGTTCGCAGCTGCCGCGATGCTACCTGCTATCTTTGTTCTCGTCCCATCCGGACTTGCAGCCAGTGGATCCCTGATCTCCGGGATCGCCTCGGCAGAGCAGATTACCAGCAAAATCACTCCTTACTCTGTCGTTTCCAATGGCACCCAGGGATTCGTGGATGCAGCAAAGAACATGACCACAACAGCAAGCAACGATCAATTCCACGGAGTCGTCTTTGACATCGGATACGGCATGGTCCAGGTCGCAATCGGCTTCACTGTCGGTCTTTTCCTCGCTGCATTGGTCGTGTATCCGCTTGGAAAGAAACGAAGCGGACTGTTCAGCTTCTAAAACACCACGCATACATAACAACCATGCATACATACCCATTCGTTCGCATATCCTTCCGTCATTTATCTATTTTCAATCTCTCATCAGTTGATATGGATCGCATCATCGTCACGCAGCAAGCGAGTTCGTCGTGTTATTTAGCGTGTGTCCTCTATTCTATTCTCTATTCCTTTTGTCTTTTGTTTTGTTTATATATCGGCGTCACATACTACTATCTCTTGCATTTCCTTTCTCTGGTCAGTTTTGCTTCACATTGAAACCCTTCTCTTGCATTTTTGGATGTCACGATATGATCTGAATTGGTTCGGAATTAGCGAGCAAGCAATACACGGGATATTCAGCAACTGGGCTTGATCTTCTTTTCTTTTCTTTGTATGCCTTTTTGGTCGATTGTATCTGATTTTTGGGTTTCTGTTTTTTCTTTGGGGCTATGATAAATATAAAATGGGTCGGCGCGAGTGGCTGCTTAAAATGACTTTGGTTTTTTTCAACTTTTTTGCTGGGGCATATGTTTATAGCAGTGATATCATTTGAGAATACACTATGTACAGATTTCTGTGGCTTGAAGGTCGCAGATTCTTTTCGGGTTTCCCTGAAGTTATCATTTCATTCTGTCTAAAATCACTCTTGGTTTCTGGGATTCTCACCAAGATATTAAGGTTACTTACCTTGTCATATTAGCCTTATCCAGATGTACTAAAATGTGTGCTACCTTGTCCTAGGTATACTTTTGAACATGGTATATCTAGTAGTAGTCATTCTTGCGTTCATTTCTCACGTACTCACTCTCTGACATCCACTGAATATCACTAGCAAAAATGGTATAATTCAATGAGGTATCTATATAGTCTATCTATCCATGCTAATCACACTACTAATTTATACTCAAACGCTACAACTTCACTTTTCCATCCTATCCCCAGACCTATGAATTTCACTCTTTCCCAACCTCTCCTCCCTCCATCGCGGCCCAAACCTCACAACAACCCCCAAAAGCGGCGCCGTGCCTAACATAACAAACGCAATGAAAGTAAAACACCATCCCCTCCCCATGGCATTCAGCATAGGATCAATCAAAGCCGTAGCACCAGCACCCAGCAAACAGCGAACGAAATTATTCGAAGCCGTCGCGGCACTCGCGTTACCCGGGTAAAGATCCACAAGCAACGTACTTACAGTATTAAAAGCGCCGGTCAAGCCTAATCCCATTACGAACAGGATCGTGGTGGGGGCAGCTAGATGGATGCCGAAGTGTAGGACCCAGCCGAATGCAATCACGGTTAGACTACCGATGGTTAGCAGCGGGAAAGCGAGTTGCAGACGGGCTTTTTCGATGGGAAAGTCTTTTAGGTCCTCCCTGGAGCCGTGGTGGAGGGGGACGCCGAGTCGTTTTGCGAGACGGCGGTAGTTGTAGTCTAGGATTTTGCCTGAGATGATGGAGGCGATTGTGGCGCCGAGGCCGAAGGGAATGTAGCAGAGGCCGATTTGGAGGTCGTTGAGGTTGTATAAGTTTTGGTATATTGAGGGGATGGAGGCGCTGACGTCGTAGAAGCCGGCGAAGAGGATGGCGTTTGAGAGGAGGATTATGCTTGTGTCTTTTTGGAAGACGATGGAGAGGGTTCTTAGGGGGTTTGGGAAGGTAATCTTGTTATGTCTTTCCCCTGGGGTGTTGTTTGCTTCCTGTCTTTCTGTTCTTCTTGTTCTGGTCTGATACCAGTTGATCAATGATAGGTTCCATGTTGGAGGCGGGATCGAACCGTCGCCGACTACTTTCCGGGCGGTTTCGGGGAAGAAGAGTAGGAACTGGACGGTGAAGGCGCCAGCGAATATAGTCAGAAACCAGAATATAGCTCTCCATCCTAGATACTGCGCCAGAAGGCCTCCGATGACCGGACCCACGGACGGGCCCAGTAGCGTGCCGGCAGTTACGAAGCCCATATATGAGCCCCGCTCCGCGGCAGTTGCGATATCCGACACCACCCCCGAGCCGAGCGCAATAGTGGTGCTAATTCCAGCGCTTTGTAGACAACGGAGAATGAAGAGTGCGGCATAGTTGTTTTGTAGTGCAAGTCCAATATTGGCTGCTATGTACAGGATGAAACATCCGATGTAAGCCGGCCGTCGGCCTGCTTTGTCTGCAAAGTCGCCTACAAACATGGGCGATAACCCTTGGAAAATCTTCTTATCATAAATTGTTTTATTCATGAGTAGACAGAAGGAACAAGGGAATTCGTACCATGTAACTCATGAGAGTCAGATTGATCAAGCCACCTGAGACATGTAGGTCATGGGCTAGGGTGTTTAGGGCCGGGTAGTAAATCTGTGAAGACACTGGAGAAAAGAAGCCAGCCCAGGATGTACAAAAGACGATATATCTCTTCTGTGCTTTTGGAAATGCAGAATACACGACCTCGCTAACTCCGGCCGGTGTGTGAGCTAGGACGGCATCACCCGTGGCTTCTCCCTGAGCTTTTTTCTCAGAGGTACCCGGACTAGATAGAGTTCCTTTAAGGCCGTCTGCATCATTACAATCCGGGGCCATTTTCCTTGTATAAAAGCCTTCACAACAAAAATCAAGCAATACAACTTGCGGGGCCCAGGGCAGAAATGCAGGTGGTCCGTGCTCTTTATGGTCACCTGACTTTATCCAATTATCGAGCTAATCCGGTCTTGCTTTAGATAGATTGCGTTAATTGATGCATATGTATTGAAGATAGAAGTTGTTTGTCGGCAGGTCAATTTCTTATCAGCTGGCTGCGATTCCCTGTCAGGCAGGGTTCGCCGTCGGCAAAGTCTTCGTTGTGCAACCCTAGTTTAAGTCATGCAGCACTATAGTAAACTGATGAAGAGCATATCAAGGAGTTAATCCTCCAATATTGCAGTCTTGGAAAAGCTGAACGACCGTTAGTAGTTGATCACGAGTGAATGTCGTACTCGGGAAGGAAGGCCCCTGCTTCATTCACGCTTTGTCTTCCACGTTGGAGGCAGAAAATAGCCCTAGGACTCGGACACTGACATAGAGACAGAATGGCATGTAAGTGTAAGCAAACTATGAGACCGATACGACCAATTGGAAAGATCGGGTCCCCTACCTTTAATATATCATCAATCCTCGGGTGGCCCGCGAGGCTTATATCATTCGACTGACGGTCATATGCACTGCCATTGTATCCCAAAAGTCGACATGTTGAGTGAACCAACGAAGCATTTGATTACATGAGATGATGCAGATCCTCTCAAGTCGAAAAAAAAAAAAGTTTATTCGTGACCGCGAAAGTGTTGAATGCGGCTGCAGGGAAGAGTGGCCTCCGAGTCACCGACACTGGGACAACTGAATTGAATGGGTTGGAAAGAACACCAGGAAGTGGTGTTAAACTAGGGAGTGTTAAAATAGAAAAAAGAGGTATAATGATTGTATGCCCGGATAGAGAAGGGCAAAAAAGAAATATGACTCCGATACGGGGAATCGAACCCCGAGCTGCCGCGGAACTTGCTTTCATGTTTAAGCTGAAAGGCGGCGATGTTAGCCGTTACACCATATCGGATGTTATTGACAATATGCCGGAGGTTTTAGCATTATACCTGAAATTTAAAATTGTGCTTTATTATAAGGCCGGCTCTATAACGCTTGTTGAAGATGGGGACGGGGCGGTTTTCATGGGATACTAAAGAAATTAACCCAAAGAAAAGAACATCGCAGGCTTTGAGATTCCACATATTATCCAATTTCATCATTTCAGGCCACGGTGGTGGGCGAGCTTCGGTTCGCGATTGGGATCCGCTAGGCCTATACCTACCACATACTCACACTCCTCTTCACAGTGTCGGCATGACTTGTACACTATGTCGCCCAGTTTGCAATATATATATCATGCTCCAGAATTAGCTCTCACTATTTTGATAACTATTTGGAGATAACTTATAGTCGTCATGTCTAGACTTAGTGGTGTTTGACTCCCTTATATGCCCCCATTGGCCTGTACTTGGGGCTGCTGGTTACAGCTATTGCGACTAGTAACCTTACCATAACACCCTGCTATCCTAGGAATAACCCTTTATGTTGAGTTTTCAGGTATCATGGTTACGGTAGTGTCGTTTGACTGTCACGATATCCTAGGGTTGTTGGCTTACTATGATCCGAAGACGCTCCCTTCTATCATTGCCGAGTAATTATATATAGCCACGAAACAGATAGCTCTGCAGCACAACACACCCTTTAAGCCTTAGGTAGTTTGACCTCTAGCAGATTCAATGGCCTTGATAAATCACATATAGTAGAAGAATCCTAGCGCTGGATCCATACTCAAAAACATTCCAAGAGAATTATAACACCTAGTCGCTGACACGAGTAATTAGGGCTCATCAACATAGATAGACATCCTGTTGGCTTGTATATACAAAAACGAAATTACACTTTCATCAAATCCGATATGGTGTAACGGCTAACATCGCCGCCTTTCAGCTTAAACATGAAAGCAAGTTCCGCGGCAGCTCGGGGTTCGATTCCCCGTATCGGAGTCAGAAGATTTCTTTTTTTTTTTTTGTCTTGGCTTACTTTATCTGACGTTTTTTTAACGCCTTAGAACTAGGAAGGAAGGATACACTTTCTGCTCCATGCAGAGGTATTGAGTTCTGGTATCATATAGCTCGCGGCTTAGGGAATTGGGAGGATACCATGCATGAGGTTGAATCCCCTTTCCCCTATAGTGGTTTGTATCTCCAATCACACATTTACTTTTGTTTTCAGTCCCGTCTAGGATTCATGTGTAGCGTGTCATCACTTTCATTTGTTCATTATCATAGTGTCTGAGAAAGATACATCTAGCGATATCCATACCCGAGATCATGTACAATCTAGCCATGTAATAAGTCGGGCCACTATTTCGCCTCAACCGTTTCCCTCACTATATTCTTATCCCCAGAGTCCGTACCAACAGAGTGTCGTATAGGGCCCTGTTCTTCATCCTGGCCTATAGTGGCTTGCTTATCATGCTCGATAGGAGCATAACGCCTAACAACCAACCAGGTCGGGAATGCCGCGAGACCTAGATTAGTGCTTGGGTTAGTCTTTCCCGTCTCTAGATCCAAAGAACAAGACAAGGAAATGGGAAGCAACATACCAAGCAGAATAGTATTCACAGCAAGGGGAACTCGCCCGCCATACCAGTTTCTCGTGTTGATGCCGAATGAAACGGCCTGAGCAAAACTTTCCTGCCCACGGAGGACGCCAGAGTACCGGGCTAGATGGTACTATTAGTGGTTGGTTTCCATTTTGGTACTGGACTTCACGTACCCAGTTCTGAGATGTTGTCGGTCATTGTGGAGACGAGATAGTAGAGCCAGTTTTGGAGTGCTTGTTGGGAGAATTCTAATGTTATAGAGTTTAGCGAGATATCCGGCAGAAAACAAATTTATTCTGAAGGATACTAACCCCAGAGAAGGATAACGAAGAGCCCCTCTGTGAAGCCCTTGTCGGACCAGTCGTATGAGGGTGGGTTCGCAGTGTACTTCTCTTGTATTACCCAGGCGTAGACCCATGTGGCGATGTGTACGAGGATGACGTAAAAGAAGCTGGAGTCCTGGTTAGTATACCCTTTGCTGCTGATTGATGCTTCATGGTGAACGGCCATACCTGTATGTGACCCGGTTCTTAATTGTGATTCCTCTATAATCAAGGAACCGACTAATCATCCCCGAGGATAACAATCTTGCGAAGTTGCCTGGCCGATGTTAGACACAGCTCGGACTTGAAACATCTAATACCCGGATTGTTGAAAGACATACTGACAAAGCCGATCAAAGCACGAGCTCTGACACCGAAGTAATAGGTCGTAAAGTCTATCCAAGAGACTGTTAGTGTTTCCACGTGTAGAAATATAGAACATGCAAAACCATACTTCCACTATACTGGTTAAAGTACGCCGCCCAGAAGATCGGCAACATCAGAAGAACCTGAATCGGTGTTAGCTAAACTATCGATGAAAGTGAGAACAAGCACTGACTTCTTTTCGACAAGAAAGCTTCCAAAGCTCCCGCATCTCCGCACGCCATGAGTCCTGCAGAACAATCCTCACTTTACTCCCATCGCTACGCTGGACCCTCTCAGGTGGCGAGAGAAATATCGCCAGGGGAATGGAGAGGCACTGTAATGCGACGAAGATGAGATAAGTCTCTGTATAAGCTGTTAGCAGTCACCCTTGCAGGGAAAGTAGATTCGGCTAGACTTACGTGAGTCAACTTTTCCTTTGCTCTTCGCTTCAGCAGAACTGTAACTGAGTGAGCAGAATATCTCAACATATTTTTATCTCCCAAGACACTTACTGATTGAGCCCGAGGACAATTGCGCCGCCTAGCAAAGGTCCACCGGTACGAAACCAAAGCCAGATACTGTTCATGGTCAATAATATTGTCCACCAAGCCAAGTTATCATACCTAGATCGACTCACTTCATATATCTGCCCCGCTTTGTTGGCTCCGGATATCCCAATGCCACAGCACCCTCAGAAGCCCAGAAAAGACCCGCCCTGGTTGTTGCGTAAGAGAATGGATAGCTGTTGACCGGATATCTCATACTTACGACAAACCACAGGCTACCGCTCCAACAAGCACAAACCAAACGTTGCCCTGCACTTGTAATTAGCATCCCCCACGAGCACCCCAAAGTCTGGCACGTACATAGCGGTTATTCGTATATAATGCGGCACTGTACCGTCGCTCGTTAGTCCAAATCTAATAATCCCCCAAAGCGAGATGTATGAAAATATACGTACGAGTAAATCGGATATCCAACCGCACCCAAAAGCAGGGTCCAATTCAACCCGATGCGGTTCGCAACCGGACCGCCGAAGAGACACAGAAAACCCACTGTAAGAAGCGGCAGAGATCAGCACCGCAAGCCAATACAACACCCGATCATGAATTATCAACGAGTCAGCATACTAAGACCAAAAACCAACGCATTGGCAGCATTAATTAAGAACGGCGACTGCGCGCCACCAGCACCCAAGGAATTCATCGCATTCCACAAGCCGGGCGCCATAAAGCCCACTCCACCGATGACAAAGGCATTGAAGAGCGTCGAGTGATACCATATCCGTCTCTCTTTATTTTCTACCGCTATATCGGTGGATGAAACCGAATGCGATGATGGTTGTTCGGCCATGGCGTTGGGTAGTCTCGTCGTTAACAGCCCGTCAAACTGAAGAGAAGGATCTGGGCAAGAAGCATGTTCCGCGCCATAATAGATATAACATGCTTTATGGCTCCCATCTCTTCATTCAATTGTCTCGTTGGGAAAATCCTCATATTGAAAGAAAATTGCGTGCTTTTGTGAATATCACGATAGCGTGCCATTTACATGCTACTATGACACTTGGTGTACAGACCCAAGACTGCAACGTCTGGCCAAGGGGCCAATCAATGACTGGTGGTGGAGAAGAGCTTTGATGCATATCGGCCTGGGCCGCCGCTTAAAATACTTGCTGCTCATGCAAGTCATACAGGCTCATGCAGCATTAAAGGACGGTGTCTATTTCTACAACATCAAGGTGATCGAGTCCTTTCCCATTATATGATTACATGCATGTCATTGACGTGTATGACATATTGGCCTGTCAATCGTTGTCACTTGAAAACACACACACACACACACACACACACACACACACACAAAAGATGCTACGATTTCTACGGGAACTGGACTGGCCGTTTCTCCATAAGCTGTACTGATGTCGTTCAGTATTGAGAACTAATAGAACTGACGCTTGTACATACATGGCCAGATGATGTACACCGAAAGAATGAAATTTGGAATCGCCCTGGGCGCAAGATGATCGACTCAGTCCGACCAAAATAAAACCCCCTGTTGCAGCAACAGGAGCAGCCAGGTCACGAAACCCACTACATAACGTAGAATTGATTTTTCCCGTTTTCATCAGCGCATTCGGCAGTTGCAAGGAGTGGACAAGAACGTGAACAGAGGTTGGAGAGTAAAGAAATTTCAGAAAGAAAGGAAGAAGGTAATAAGAAAAGAACTTCATCATCCAAGGCTGATGTTGCGGAAGGCCGCTTATGTGTGTCCAACCACATAGGAAAAGCAACATTAGAGACAATTTCGACTATCACATGAGAGTATCCACTTGGAACAGGAGAGAAGCTCTGGCCCGCTGTCCAAGTACAACAAACGAGTAAAGTGGGGCGTTTAAAAAATGACAAGAAAACAAGCGCAAAAAGTAATCATCCAAGTGTGCACATCCGTTACGTCTCAGTCACATTATGTACGATGTTCGCGTTACATGATCGGGGTCTTGCGCTTTTCGGCGCTAGATAGCACAAGCATCGGGGTCTTGCGCCGTTCTGGACCCTGCACTGCTGTCTTCTGGCCAGCGACGACAGCAGCCACCGAAGGTGTCCCCACGGGCGAAGAAACTGGATCCGTACGAACATCCGCCAATTTTCCGCCAAAGAAGCCACCGTCCTCGCTGATTGGCGTGGTCGTGTACGGGCTATCCTGCGACCGCCGTTCCCGAGAAGATCTCTCCTTCCTCTCAGACCCAATGGCGCCATTGGCTGCGGCACGAAGGCTTCCCAAACTGGGTTTGCTTGAGAGACTGCCACTGCGAACGGTAGCATCATCACCGTCGGAGAATGTGAATTCCTTCTCACTCGCCGGGGTGTTGGTGCCACCGCTACTATGGCATCCGAAGCTGCGGCTATCTCCGCGTCGTTCAAGGCCTGCACGCACAAGGTTGTGAACGGCGCGACGGCGCTGACGGGTTGCAAAGTTCTTGCTTCCTTCATGGTTCGATGTGGGCTTCGCAACAAGTTCTTCCAAAGAGGGTGGACCCCTGGGTTGCCGGATCGGGTGCTCTCCGGCGCGATTCTGGCCAGGCCCAAAAGTTCCAGTCGCCGGAGTCTGAGAAAGGGCAGCGGTTTTGGGAGCGGCAGGAGCCATGCTTGAGTTTGCCTTGGCCGTGTCAATAGAGAATCTAGCAGGGTTAAACGACGAGCTCTTTTTGTGACCTCTGCGGAATGCATTGACGGAGGGAGGAGGCAAAGGGGCAGTTTCCTGGGGAGGAGAAGGGCTAGCACTTGGAGGAGAGGCCGGCTGCGATAATTGTTTCGTCTCCGGGGGAGGGGAAACTTCAGCTCGGAACGCTGGTACCTGCATGGCAGGAGATTGCGTCTCCTCTTCCTGGTAAGGTGAAGAACTTTCTTGCTGGCAGGAATTGTCGTAAATGTAATTTTGTTGACCAGTGAGGGGGTTGTAGACGGAGAACAGCCCCGGTTGGCCCGGCACTGGCTGTACAATAGGCTGCACACCCTGCTGGAGCTGTTGCTGATAGAAGCCCATGCCCGGAACGGCGAGAGAAGGGTATTCCTGCTGCTGGTTCATCGGCATCCCCAGGTTGAGGCCCTGGAACTGCTGGGCCGCTGCGGTAACGCTAATCAGTTGTTGTTGTAGGCGCTGTTGTTGGGCCGCCAGGAAAAGGTTTGTGGACATCAATTCCGCGTATAGACTCTCGTCAATTGGCATATCGCCGGCGATGTCAATAGCCGGAGGTGCGAGCACCTGCTCCGGCAGAGTGTATACTGGGCGACCGGTGTTCATGTCCAGGCCCTGATTGAGGGCCATTGAGTGTCGAGGGAAGCCAGTTCCCATGGCAGTTTGTGGAACACGATCAGTAGTGCGGTTGGAAAGATTCCCATATCGATCACCCTCCACGCCCAAGTGCTGTTGGCGGGCGGAAGCTGAGGGGACGGTGGCAGATTTTGGAGCCGTCCTTAAACCTGCCAGAAGATGCGAACGGCTGGTGCGTGGAGTGGGAATGGGAGCTGAAGGCTGGGATTCATCAATGGTGGAGATGTGTGGAGGTGGCACACTCAAACGCTTCACATTAGGGCCCTTTCTCCGAGACCCGAAACCGGAACTCGGGGCCCCAAGCGAGCTTCCGTTATTGAAAGACGGATTGTAAGTCATCTGAGCAAGACCGCCAGTGTCCATACTCGCAACTAGTATAAAGGAAGAAAGCCTCGAGGGTAGTATGTGCAACGGATAAGAATCAAAGAGCCGTAGTGAACCGAAGGCACTATGTAGTCGACCAAACGGAAAGCCTGTGTATTAAATTATTACAAGGAGGCGATGGTAAGAATGAAACACTCGAGGATCGCTCTGACACCAGAGATCGTGTCTATTATGTAAAGCGTTGAGACTGCGGTCGCGAATCCTAGACTTGGCCGGTGTCAGCAAGATCGTAAAGGCGATCGACATAACAATCGACATACCTGAGAAATATGCGATGAGAATGAATGGAGTCGCAAAGAGAGAGAGCTAGAAAAGACAAAGAATGATTAATAACCAGGTGTACAGGGAACGATCGACCTGGAGGTCAGGGCAGAGTTGCAGCTGCCAAAAGGAGATTCGATGGTAGAAGTGATGGACGACAGACGCGACCGGACGTCAGGAACCGAGGCAAGAAAGTCGAGAGACAAGGGAAATGAAGGTCTCTATAATTAAAGACGATGATAAAAAAAAAATTGGGTGGGAGATGCTCTGCAGCTCCCGACCGAAAGGATGCTTGAACACGAAAAATGGAAAAGGAGGAGAGACTCGAAGGTTTGACCGTTGAGGAGAACAAACAACGGAAAATGAGAACAGAGCCGCTCAAGTGACGAAGTAAGGGATCGTCGAATGGAACTTTTATTTATTCTCTCTCTCTTTCTTGCTCTCAGACTTTCTTTTTATTTTCTATTTTCTTTGGCGTTTTTTGCCTTTTTTTCCTGATCCTCCAAAGTATCCAGTAAATCGTGGAGAGGGAAAGAAGAGAGGAAAGAAGAGAGATGGCGATGATAGGGTAGTGCACTGATGAATTGGTCCGTTCGGCTGTTGGCGCGCGTTGGGTCGCTTTTTTTTTTTTCTTTTTTTTTCCTTCGCGCTTTTTCCTTCGTATCCGCTTTGGCCGTCAATAGTCAAGCCAAAGGGCGCCAAACAACTTCCAAGTCACTTTCTGTGGATTATATAAAACTTTTCCGGATTGACAAGCGAAGAAGTCCGAAACGAAATGAAAAGGACTGTGGGTGGAAAAAAGACAATGAGGATAAGAGAAATTAGGTTGGTTGAAGCAACACAAAAGGGGGAAGAGAAGAAGTGAAGATGGACTGGAGAGGATGGAAGAAAGCCGATTCAGAGGGAGAACAGGAGGGGGAGGAAATGAAAGAGTGGGTGAGTAAGAGAAAAGGAAGAAGAAAAGAAGCGAGAGAAAGAGAGAGAGAGAGGGAAACTATCCTCCTATTGTTATTGCTACTAATACTTTCTAATACTGTAAGACGCAGAAGAATTAAGGTGCTAATAATACAAGACCTGTAAAATCAGCATCATGATCGTAGGTGCTGAGACACTGACTGGTTGGCCACTTCTGACACTTGTATTATGACTGGTTCGCTTGAAGAACGACTAGTCCTGAACAGGGTTAGCCACGGGCAAGTGGTGATTCTTCGAGTGGGTGATTTCTTGATAGCCATTGTTGGGTGATCTCATTTGGGGTTAGCCGTTCTGAAGTGGTGCCTGAAATAGTAGCCAATAGATCGGGGGAAATTGTGATGGTCCTCAGGTTCTCCATCCGGCCCCATGGATGCTTTCTTTATTTAGAGGTCGGGGTCTTTATGAATGTGAGATATACCGTAATAGGGCTAAAATCTAAACCTTTTTTACTTCGTGGTAGTATTAAATTACAATGCAAAAGTATGGAACGGTAGATACTAGTAGTAGTTAGTGAGGTAGATCAAAACTGATCAAAGATTCTCTGATTCTCATAGACTCATACCTACCCAAGTTCCCTACTAGTGCAGTCCCTGGTTTAATTAATCCCATTGCCCGTCAATCCACTATCATGGAACAGAGACAGCGCATCAGCCGCTATGACCAGCCAATCCGCCCCCAGAATTGCCTCTGCAGCCTGACAGTGACGCCAATATGCACCCCATGCCCCAATCCCCATTGGTTCGTCCCCGAGCTTCTTACCCACTTATCCCTGGGATCATCCCGACTTAGTGCCATCCAACGTGGCCTCTCTTCGCCGCCAGCCAACCGCTACCATCGTAGACTGATTCCCCTCTTCTCCTTCCCCTGACTGGCCTGGTGTTCCCCCTCCTACCACCGGTTCGGTTCGGTATTGCGTTTTGGACCAATTTTTAGATCGAACCAATTGGTTTGGGAGAATAGGATGGAGGTAGCACGGGAGTATCTGTGCTCATGCACCTAGGTCTGCATGGAAGAAATGCCATGCTCATCAGCATGTCTTTGACCTACGTATTTGGATACCTAGCTATTGATGGTTAATTTGGTTCCAGTCACCAGACAATTCTAGAAGTGGGGTTATGCGAGTCCAATGCATGTTCCATTCTACTCCACTATCGCTTGTATATAATGATACCATGACATTGAATTTTATCCATGTCTGTTTGTACATCATCTATCCATACGGTAATCCCACCTGCCCTACCATCAGCTAGATTCTTCCTGTATTGTTCTTGGCCTGTCACCGTGCCATTTCAGAACAATGAGTACACACTGATAGTCCCGACAAACTCAAGAAACACATCGGATGCCTCCAAATAAAATAACAACTGGGTATCTGCTGGCAGGACATAATTTTTCAGTCCCTACCAGAAGCTAATAATGATAAAAGAAAAACAAACAGAAAAAAGGAAAAAGAAAACGAAATCGTAAGGAACAGCATGTCCATCTAGGTAAAAAAATAACACATCGCAGAGACCTTGGAGAAACGTAATTCTCTGCAAGGTTAAAAAGTGCGTGAAACATCATATCCAGCCCTTGGTAGATCTATCAAAGCAGAAATTGATACGCTCACAACCAAATCGGGATGAATGCTGAGAACCAGAAATCATTCTGTACGTTCTAAGCATCAACAGACACAGGAGGTCCAGGGAGAGGAAAAGTCGCTGACCCCTGGGGCTCTGGCTCGGGGGACTCGCCCCCTGCACCTTTTCCGTTCATTCGGTCAAACTCCAAGGTCTCTACCAGTTCAGCAGCCATGGGGTCTAGTTCCTCTTCTTTCAGCCCTGTAGCGAGTGACACGAGCTTCCGATGAACGTCAAACTTGGTGCTAACACCCGCATCTGCCGTTTGTTGGGCGAGATCTTTGATGGCGGCACGCCGTGCTTTTTGCGCCGAACACAGTCGTCGGGCTAGCTGATAGACGGTAAGCAACTGGTTCTGGTCAGTCGAGGGCGGGTTCGGGTCCTCGTTAGTGGGTAATGTTGACGATGCGATCCGCTCCCGTAAGCGGGCTTGTTGAATCTGTTCCAGTAGCGATTCGTAGCGACTCCTCAGCTGTTCGTAACGTTCGAACTGCGCATCGACGTGCTCTTCTTTGGCCTCCTTCGCCGCCAAGTCGGCTGTTTGTTGTTGAATCTTTTGCCGATCCAACTCTAGCTGTTCGTACAGAGCCTCTGGATTGGCAACGTCGTCTGGATCCGGTTGATTGGCCTTTGAGCTCCCGTACCCAACTGCGAGTTTCTTGTTCGCTTCGGCCATGATTACTCCAATCTTAGTAAGGAGTGCAGAAGTGGAGGGGGAGGATTCTTGCGGTGGCGCAACAGATTGGTGATCGGCGTTAATCGGGCCAGCAACTTCCCCATCGATGTGGTCATTACCGATCGTGATAGAGGAAGGCGGCGGCGGGATATGTCGGTCAGACTGATTCGCTCGCTGAGTGATCCTGGCAGCTGTTTCGCCCTTCTTGTTTACTAAGTCTCCAGCCCGCGAGCAGTGTGTGAGGAGCAGATGAACCAAGCGAAATGCACCATTTCGAGCAGCAACCAAAGCTGCCGTGTCTCCATTGGAGTCTTGGAAGGATAACAAAACATCGATTTCATCTGGCGTACAAGTAGCACGTAGTTTGTCAAGCAGCACTTCACAATAGTACCGAGAGCTCTTCCACTTCCCTTTGCTTCGGGTGGTTTCTGCTATGTGATGGAATATGGTGGCGCCGAACCAGTCTCGGAACGACACTGTGTCCAGGAGTAAATCCAGGAGCGGCGGAAATGTCCTCTTTTCATAATTGTTCGTAAATAGAACAGCACGCACAAGCGGCGTTTCTTCATGTACTGAGAGTGTCTTCACATCTGCTCCCCTCCGCAGCAAATCTTTTACTATCTCCAGATCACCCATCGCACAGGCCCAATGGAGAGCAGTGTTCCCTGAATCATCTATTGGACGGTCCACCTGAAAGTTGGCCGGCGGTTCCGGTGGAGGAATTCGCGTTGCTTCTGGAGCATCTCCAACTGTCATGAAGTAGTCCAAGAGCTGGTCGCCATAGAGTATATGTTCCTGTTCGCTTATTGACATCGCAGTTACCTCATTCATGCCACGTTTGCGCTTTCGCGAAAAGTTGCCATTCTGGGTGATATGCATCATCTCCTCATCTGCGACCATGGAGGAAGATTCGAGAGTTGCTTGTTCAATCGATTCGTCTTCGTCGAATCCAGGGTTCATTTCATATTGCTCATGAGTGAAACTGGGTGGCCCCATGCTGCGATGCGGCTTAACTGCACTGAAAACCTCCTCATGTACAACCCTCCGATTAGAGGCCGCATTTTTCTGAGCTCTCGGTTTCGACGCGGCTGATGTATGTTTTGGAGCAGGTGGCGGACTACGATCCCCAGCCACGTAATCGAAAATTGGTCTAAGCTTATCAATGATATTGTTGCGCTCAGCGAGCATCCGGCCTTCAGGAAGTGGAATCCATGTCCCTAGTTCGATCTTAGCACGGCGAGCATCGCGAGCGTTTTGCCAAAGTGGACTTTCCCTACCTTGATATTTACCATAACCGCCCTGTACTTTTTCGTGGACCCCTTTCTGCACCTCACGTTCGAGTATACGTGTTCGCGCTGGCTTGTCAAACCCAGCTAATTTAAGGATATGTGTAGCATTGATCCAATCATCAGCCCGCCTTCGCATAACGCTGTCGCCATCGAGTTTGAACTCGTAGACCGGAACCTGATCAGAAATATTAGACACACCATCTAAGCGGTCGAGGGTTTTTCAAGGTGAATTGACGGAAAGAGTGAAGGCACAGAAAAAAAGAGGAAACCCACGCTGCTATACGTAGCAGAATAAATTTGTGAAAAATCCACCCCCGCCATGATGTGCGCCTCTCCGAAAACCGACTCGATCTAGGGATTCCCGGGCAATTGAAGGACGATGCGATGCGGTCACTTTTAACGGGGAATTCAATGATCCAAATTCACCTTCTCTCAGGCGTAAAGTATAATACACAAGCCTTGAATGCGAAACATCACATACAACGTATATTGAAGTCACAAAGATACCGTATCAGCCACTGATGGCTCGTCCTAGGCACAGTAACATCCCAAAAACGCGGTGGATTGCTCAAGAAGACGCGCCCCGGCCGGCAGAACCGCGTAAAGTGGAATTGGGTCCACTATTCCCATTGTGGGATAGAACACACGTGATGTCACATGACCATCTCCGGAAGGAACAGCACTTCGGGATAGCTGCAAACCTCGCTGCTCCGTCGCCTATCTGCAAAAGGACCCTATTCTACGCCACTTTCTCATACCAAAATGACCGTTGCCGAGTCGGTTAAGAGTGCCGTTGGACTGGCGGATACCCCCGGTACGTTTTCAATGCCATTGGCCCCCGCGCTCAAGAGAAAGATCAATATCTTGTCATTGATTGAGCCGAGTATTGATGTTCTATTTCAGCCACCCGCCAGGAGATGTCCGATGCTCGCCTGCCTATTCAGTACCGCGACTCTTGTGGACACCTCCTCATCCCATTGAACCGATGCCGGCAGCAGGAGTACTACCTTCCGTGGAAGTGCGAGGTATGTCATTGTGTTCCGTCTCCGCAACCTGCGTACATATCCTTGGTTTGATATTCGACGGTTATAACTAATATCTAATGTCTACTCTAGGATGAGAGACACAGCTACGAGAAGTGCCAGTATGAAGAATTCAAGAAGCGCGTTGCCAAGATGGACGAGCTGCGAGCTGCTAAGAACGGTGCCCGGAGCAATTGATACCAAACACATCGGCTTATGCATTTGATATGGACGAAGCAGCAGGTTATGTACATAAAGTTCTGAGATTGATTGATCATGCACCGACTTTGGCGTTCGGATTGAGAATAAGCTTGCCGATACTATCCCGTTGTATTTCGGACTCACAAGGCTAGCATCTTGCCTGTAATTCATGAAACGGTCGCCTCTCGGTGTGATGCGGACCAGGTGCTTCCATCCCTCCGAACGATTTCTATGTATGAGATCGCTTCGGGAATGCGCAAGCGAAGCATTGAATTTGTCCGCTAGTCCAGCCTTGCATAATTTGAGGTCGTATTACTGCCTACGTAGTAATCAATGCTGGTTAAATCATTCCAGTCCCCATGGTGTACCAAGGTCGATATATTCTTAAGATCGTCAGCTACTAGTCGTAAATGACAGTGACATCAGAGGTACGGAGTATGAACAAGAATAATTTATTGGCAGGGTGATTTCAGCCAGGATCACCGTGTGACACTGGTCTCCTTGATATATCGAGATCTGGCACTTGTAGCTTACGGCAGATGAAGTATAAGGCTACCTAAAGTACCTATTATCAAGTATATTGCTTGGTTCCTTGGTGATTTGTGGATCGCGAAATACATGACGTTACGGCTTGCTTCGACGATCGGTCAGCTGTAATATATATTTTATAGCGTCGGTTGCCTTATAAAGTCTGTGAACATTGATTTGCCTTGCACCTGTATGTTTACAGAGAATCTCGCGAATAATCCATGAACTCCTTAGCGATGTAATCACATGACCAGCCAGTTGAGGAAGCTGCTTAGAAATCAATGCATTGGCTTCTCGTGAATTCCGCAGCGTTAACGGCGTTATCAGCGATAATGGCAGTCGATGCCCCGCTTGGGGACCAAAGATGCCCCCCACTATTGGCAAAAGGTCTTGCTTTACCCAATCACCGATAACAATCACCGTCTCCGAGACGCCGCCGGGAAAATCAGCATAAAGGCGACAATACCAATCCGACTATGACTTTTTTCCCTTTCCTTCCATCGTCTGTCTCTACGGTTTTTCATGCTGTACGTATAGTACTCTAAGGTGTCAGTTCTACCTGGCATTGTTTTATTTCATTCGGCCGGTTGCTTTCAGCGTGCGGACTCTGGCGCATTGTCTGCCACGAAAATCTCCCCTCATCTCTGCGGGGCTTACAGATCGTGTGATCCGAGATTCTGTCTTAATACGAACGACTCTCTTATAATCCAAGCCTTACACACTGGCTCTTCGGAAGTGGCTATGACATTATGGGTTTGCTGTACGTGGTGATTCTTACCAGGCATATTGTGCGGCTTAGCCCCGACCTAACATTAAATGTCCTTCTAGAGCACTAGGAACCGCTCTCGATTGGCCCGAGGCGAAGAAGCGAGCGGATCAGGTGCGGAAATGGGGTATCGAGGTACGTATCTGCCTTCTATTTCTGCTCTCTAGCGATTCCTGAACGGACGTTCACCTAACGCACATCAGCAATTGCTCGCCAATTGGCGCCGAGCAAAAGGGAAAGAGCGCGACGCTCTTCTTTGGGGTGATGAGGTAAGATTCCTATGTCAACAAGACCATAACGCTCAAAACTGACTATCCACTCATGCTCAGGTCGAGTACCTCGTCGTTGCCGTTGATGACGAGGCGAAAAAGGCCCGGTTATCTCTCGCTCAGGCCGAGATTCTCAAGTCCCTGGCTGAGGATGAAGCCAATTGGAAGTCTGGAGGGTCAAACAGTATACAGAACAAGGAGCAGTAAGGCAAACTGGTTTTCTATATCAATTCCGAGGAACCTTTCTGATGACGCCTAGTGATGGAGAGGATCCACCCCATTTTCATCCAGAGTTTGGCCGCTTCATGCTGGAGGCTACTCCGGGGCGACCATGGGGGATCGGTTTCAAGGATCTATTGAAGGTAGAATCAAACATGAAATGGAGGTGGGTTTTTTCCGTCCGAAAATCACTATCCGAGCCTAACCTGGTCCCTTAGGCGAGAGGTTGCCAAGTCTCACATGGCACCAAATGAATATCCCATTACTCTTACCACATTCCCTCGCTTGGGCACGAAAGATGACTACATTCAACCATACTATCCTCCATCTGGAGCCGCACTCCGATCTCAGTTTGTTCCTGATGAGATCGCGAATCCCCATATTAGGTTTCCAACACTTGCTGGTAATATAAGATCGAGACGGGGCCGAAAGGTCGAGCTGAATGTGCCGGTCTTCAGAGACACAAACACCCCCGAACCTTTCAATGACCCAACGGTGAATTATGACCTCCACAACTGGCCTGAAGACGATGATGTCAGGAATGGAGCAGCTAAGGAAGGGCATGTCTATATGGACGCCATGGCATTTGGTATGGGCAGTTGTTGTCTCCAGATTACGTTCCAGGCAAAGAATATGACGGAGGGGAGAAAGCTATATGATCAACTAAGCCCGCTGGGACCCATCCTTCTTGCACTTACGGCTGCAACCCCCATATACAAGGGCTTCCTTGTCGACACTGACGTTCGATGGAACCAGATCGGTAACGCTGTAGATGACAGGACTCGTGAAGAACTTGGTGAAGCTGTGAGTTTTCCCTCTATTGATTGCCGGTCTAGAGTTAACATACTAAATAGCCCTTGAAAAATGATCGGTGGAGAATTCCCAAATCTAGATACGCCTCAAACTCGACTTATCTTTCTCAGGACCCTAGGCTGCGGAAGGAGTATTTGGATCCAGATCTGATCGTGGACGAAGATATCAAGAAGCGCTTGATTGACGGTGGTATGGATGAGCTTTTGGCCACACATTTTGCGCATCTCTTCATACGCGACCCACTGGTTATCTTCTCTGAAGACCTGGAAGAACTGGACCTAAACAAAGCAGACCATTTCGAGAACTTGCAATCGACGAATTGGCAACACATGCGCTTCAAGCCACCCCCGCCAGAAAAAGATGACATTGGCTGGCGAGTCGAGTTCCGCTCAATGGAAATTCAAATGACCGATTTCGAAAATGCGGCATTCAGCATATTTATCGTGCTCGTCACCCGCGCGATTTTGAGCTTTGATTTGAATTTCTATATTCCTATCCAACGGACAACCGAAAATATGGAAACGGCACATGCGCGAAATGCAGTTTTGGACCGAAAGTTTCACTTCCGCAAGGATCCATTCTCTCCTCGTGCACGCAGACCGCACCCACAGTCTTCTACTAATAGTGAAGTGTCGTCCGCCACGTCATCCGCCGTTAATACGCCACCCCCATCACCTCCACTTAAACCAGTGGAGTCGGAATATGAGCTTATGACTATCTCAGATATCATTAACGGTTCTGCTGACGGATCATTCCCCGGATTGATCCCACTTGTCGAATCGTACTTGAACAGTGTCAATGTGGACGTCGAAACGCGCTGCTTTCTGGCAACCTACCTCGATCTCATTCGGAAACGGGCAAACGGAACCCTCTGGACTGGGGCGCGGTGGATCCGTGAATATGTTGCTTCACATCCTGCGTATAAGCATGATAGCGTCGTCTCCGAAGAAATTTGCTACGACCTTGTGAAGGCAGTTGAGGAGATGTCTGTAAAAGAAGGAAAGAACGGGAGTGTTGGATGGGAGCTTCTTAGAGGCAAGAAGTAAGATGGCGAAAAGTTTGGCTCTCTATAGATATGGTATTTTAATCCGGATAGTAGATAGGACTGTTTCTCCTGATATTCTCCCTCATGGCTAAGAGTTCATTTTTGTTTACCGTGTCCACGTTGCATTTAGCCCTATCATTAACCCTTCATTTTGCTCCCCACAACCCTCATCCGACAGTCCAATGCATAGCCACGGGCAGGTCTGGATAGCAAGTGTATTGTTTATAGCAACGAATATTTTTCCTCTTCAGTTGGTCATCGACATGAGTCAGCTAACCCAGTTACCTTCCATTCTCCGTTGAGTTTATGAAGCACGAAAAGTTCGACGCCCACATGGTTCACAACGCCATTGATCTTTGATCTAAACGGCGCCCACACTGCGGCCATATTACCTGATTCGTATACTTTCACCCCAGGATCCCAGATCCGCTCGTCGATCTCGTCCTGCACGTTTGTGATCTGCTCCACAAAGACACCAATTGTACAGAAACGGGGTACCATAGGCGACGGTGGCCAAAGTGACATTCCTCCTGCTCTGATGCAGTATTTCTCGAAATCGGCTGACGACTTCGCATTCAATGCTGCAAGGAAGCCGTGCGTGACAGCGACGATGGCTTCTTCCTCAGATGATAGAGGTGGTGAAGAGATTGTCGTCATGGGAAGAGGCTCAGGTGATAACAATGTCCACCACATTTTGCAGATACGGCTAAACAATGAATATATGACGCGAGGGTAAATACACGATGATCGTATCCTCTTGCCATCTCGGTTCTCGAGGCTTTGGAGAGTCGACAATCGCATAGTGAATCTGCGATTCTCAGGGTAATGGCTCTGAGGTGCTTCGACTGGATACGTGTTGCTTGACCACCGCGATACACAGGCAAATTTTCCGTGCGATGAAAGGAGTTTAAATCACTGAAGACACATATACTGTGTCTTCTTGCACTTATACTATACTAAAAAGCGTGGAGTAGTGGAGAACAACACCTTGCTCGAAGAGACCGGTTGCCACCCTGATGTGAAGAGTCAGATTTTCAAGCAAACCCTTAAGCCAGCTCGTCCAGGAGTGCTACGACGCTAAGATTAGTACGACTCTGCTTCACTGGGGCAGCTCTCACAGCCAATGCATGTTGGGGCCACATCAGGGTCCCGTGTAGATCCAAGGGGGCTAGCTAGCCGGTTGTGCCACACGCATGTCCAGAAAACGAGGATCTATAACCGGAGTCGAACATAATACTCTATGAAACCTCTGGCTTTTGAACCCTTTGTAGAATGGGCAGTTCCGGCTATTGAATCTTGTACGACAAAGTAATACTGGTCAGGAGTTCTCCATGTGACGGACTGTTTCACTTAACATATGTCATCTTGTCTCAGGCGTAGAAACATGGCTAGATGGTTCATTTCTTGCCCATTTATAGGACACGAACTGTCTCAGGAAAGCCATCAAGATTATGTGCTAAACCTGACGAGGTGCCATCCACGTACAGCCTGAGAACAGTCCAGTCAGCTTAGTTCAAAACCCCCACATACAGCTTGCAACCGGCCACTTTTCTTTACAGCATATCTAAAGCGAATCCCACTGTGGGCTATGATGATATACTCCTGTTCAATCTTCCATGTCTTACATGGAAGATCGGGACCCCACATAGTCAAGCACGCAATTAATCAAGTCAGCTACCTGGCAGAAAGCAAAAGGAAGACGGACAATCAGCTCCATAGCCCTTCAAGTCACATCCAACAAGAGGAGACCTCTGGCATCACCGGCAAATCTTCGGGACATTCATCAATCAAAGTTCAACCGCGTCCACTTAGCACTATAAGCAATCCTACCCCCGGAAGCCCCACGAATCGTCCCTCCACAACCTCGTCGGTGGCCGACAATCTTCCCTCTAAGGGGAAATTCTCTTTAACCGGTTGACCATTCATTGATGCCGAAACTCACCCCCGCAATTCCTTAACCCCAGATACTCCGGATCCCACTGCGTCATAAAACTCTACCCTACTAATATGCCATTGTATGATGAATTCGGGCTCCAACTCTTTCATCCTTGTCTCTCAAGTCCCGACTCAAGTCCCGAGAGCATTGGGATAGTCCCATACGGGGCTGTATACCCCGCAACTGATGACCTTGCATATAAAGAGCGCGGGGTGGGTGTTGCAGGATGTGCGAGTTGGCACAGTCGTGTAGGTTTTTTTTTTAAAATTTTTTTAATGGTGGTACAAGATGCTCAAGACAATTATCTGTCTCTCGGTACTGTGGGTCACTAGCAATGCTGCTCCGAGCAATATACCAGGCCCAACAGCCCAAGTACGCAATGGGACATATGTCGGGGTAAGGAACGACCACTACCAGCAGGATTTTTTCCTAGGTATGCCATATGCGCAGCAGCCGATCGGCAACCTGCGGTTTACGGTACCTCAATCGTTGAATGAAAGCTGGGAGGGAGTCCACGTTGCAAAGGAGTACTCTAATATCTGTGTGGGGTATGGTGTAAGTGATGTTTTAACGCGATATGTCTGCTCGCGACCTCAAGATTGGCAAACTAATAAGGAATATAGACAGATTCAATCTGGTATCCGATGTCTGAAGCTTGTCTTACCTTGAACGTGGTCCGAGGGTCATCCGCGAGTGAGGGCTCCAATCTCCCCGTGGGTGTTTGGATCCACGGTGGTGGATTCTATATGGGTTCGGGATCAGATGAGCGGTATAACATGTCTGCTATTGTGGCAAACTCGTATGAGATTGGTGAGTTGTTTTTGGCCAGGTCATCGAGTATATACTGAGCTATGCAGGCAAACCTTTCATCGCCGTGACCTTGAACTATCGCCTCTCTGCGTGGGGCTTCTTGAGCTCCAGTGAAGTTGCCAGTAGTGGAAACACCAATCTGGGTCTTCGGGACCAGAGATTGGCGCTACAGTGGATCAAAGAAAACATCCGGGCCTTCGGTGGCGACCCAGAGAAGGTCACAATCTGGGGAGAGTCCGCAGGGGCAATGTCTGTTGGCGCTCATCTCATCGCATACGGTGGCAGAGATGACGGTCTCTTTCGCGGAGCGATTATGGAATCGGGAGGATCCATAACAGCCAGTCCAATGAATGACACCGGCTACCAGGCGATGTACGATGAAGTGGTGGCGAAAGTCGGTTGTTCCTCTGCCACTAATACGTTGCAATGTCTCCGCGGGGTTCCATTCGAGAAATTGAACTCTGTTTTCAACGGCACTGACGGCAACCCAGCGTACTCCTTCTCGCCTGTCGCTGACCAGGATCTTATGAGGGGCCGGGGAAGCGTCCAGCTGGACCAACATGAATTCATCAAAGTGCCCATCCTTGCAGGCACCAATACAGACGAAGGGGCTAGCTTTGGCCCCACGGGGGTCAATACCACGGAACAGTTTTACGCATACCTCACCGGTTAGTATTCTGAATTACTTCTTCTCTCCTCTTTTTCTTGGTCATGTGTATATGTACTAAATAACCTCCACACCACCAGACGGAACATCCGGCTTCAAACTCCCGTCATCTACGGCAAACCATATCCTAGAACTCTACCCGGACGACCCATCACAGGGAATCCCGGAGTTCCTCGGTGACCAGCGAGTACCATCGCAGGGCTACCAGTGGCGCCGGACATCGGCCTACGCAGGGGACTACTCGATGCACGCGAACCGACGACGACAATGCGAAGCCTGGACAGAAACCACCACCCCCGCTTACTGCTACCGGTTCAACATGCGAGGGGCAGACGTTCCATATCTGTCTGGCGCTGCGCACTTTGAGGAAGTGGCCTTTGTGTTCAACAACATTGAGGGGCTGGGGTATCATTACGGGAAGCCGTTCGAAGGGATGCCCGAGTCGTACAGCCAGCTGAGCACACTGATGGCGAGCATGTGGGCGTCATTCATCCACGACTTAGACCCGAACTCGGGCATCAAGGATAGTGAGGTTCGCTGGCAGGCGTATGGGGCGGACCAGCCGGTCGATATGGTGTTCGATGCGAATGTCACGAGCTATATGGAGCCGGACACGTGGCGGAAGGAGGGGATCGATTATATCAATTCGATGGCAGAGACATACTGGCGGTAGTGGTAGTATACCTGAATAGGTAGTTCTGGCTTGTTATTTACCAAATCGCACACTCCCAAATCCAAGTCAACGTGAAGTCATGACAAGATCTCTTTGAAGAACAATTCGCCAAATCGGGTAAGGCTGGTCCTCCTAACCAGCCACAAAAACAAACCAAAACCAAACCCCAGCAAATCCAGGCTACAAACATAACCTTCTTCATAAAAATTTCCGAAATAACCAAGGCAGCAAGACTTAAAAATAAACCCAAAAACATTAATAAAATTACGTTAAATTAGATTAAATCAAAGCAAACTATAATCTCCAAGAAAAGAAGAGACGAAGAAAAAGAACCCAAAGAAAAACAAGCCAAATACCGAACCATACAATTCCCGAACACACCCTCCAAAAATAGCACACTTTAAATTAAGCAATTAAACCAAGTGCGCGTGATTATAAATGCTTACAAGCACACAACAAGGAAGTCAACAAGCAACCCCGTACGGACTACGGGATAACGCCCCCCTTCCCCTCCCCCCCATTTCTGTCAAAGAGTGCTCCAAAGCCCCAGTCCCCGAATTCAATAGTCTGCAACGTTCCAAGTGGGCGACTGGAGTCGCCTGTCATGGCATGTCCCGAGGGACAGTTGGAAAGCGGATATTTAGGCAGAATTTCCTCGGTAGCAAATTAGACCTGTGACAGTGTGACTACACAGTATAGGGATTGCGTCAGGATCTTCAGTCTCCGTTCTCTTTATTAGGTAGGGGGGAGAAGAAAATCAAGGAATGAGAGAAACAAAATGTGGTAATTTAACCTGAATTTTTGCAGAAAACCAAACCACCAAACAAAAAAAAAAGCAAAAAGAAAGTAAATACTCCATACAGAGTAAACCCAATAACTAGCCACGCGTAGCTTCAGACCCAAGCCCCCGGTATTCCCGTGCAGAAAACAAAACCCAATTATCAAAGAACAATGCCCCTCAACCATGGTACGAGCCACGGATAATGCCTCTTCTAGAACGTCACAAAACCCTTTCTCGGAAATGTCAAGCGAGTTCCAATGTCTTGATTCTTTTGGTTGAAGCAATGAAATTAGCCGCTTCGACAGGCTTTACTCCATACATTCAAGGAAATCGGGATGCTATTCCAACGAGTGGCGGTGCAAATCGGTGGTTAGTTTGATTATATGCTGTCGATCAATGATTGCAGATTGTGGCATATGTGGGTAATAACTGCTCGTTTGGTTTTATTCTCCTCCCTCTTTCTCTCTAGCTCCCCCTTTCTTCTTTTTTATTTTTTTATTTTTAATTTATTTATTTTGTTCTTTTTTTTTTTTTTTCCCACCTGGAGACCAGTTTCTTGATTCGGCAACAATAGGATTGTTGGATACAGATCTTCCCTTGTTCTTGGTTCACACGTGTCGTGCGTATTCTAGAAGGTGAAGGTTCCATGGGACGGGACTGGGTATTGAGTTTCTTGTATTTGGTATTTCTCCTAATTTTCTCATTTTTATATGCCTATCAGTACATTTATTACGTGTATGGGTGCTTTTGCAGTTTTGAGAATGGGTAGTTTACATTATGTCTGGTTTGGGGTGTTTAGAGGTTTCTGGTTGTTATTGCCTTAGGATTCAGGCCAAAGTAACTCTTAAACTCGGGGCCTTGCTCGATATGAGGAAGGGAACTTAGAAACGAGGAGAGAATAATAATAATGATGTGATATTGAGCATAAAAGGAAAGTAGATTAATAAATGAATAAATTGAGGAGGAAAAGAAAGGAAAAGAAAAGAAAAAGGGAAGCGACATATGTACCTAGCCAATCTACTCGATCAAGGTATATTCGCATACTTAGTGCAGCAGAACAATTCCCTACAGGTACATATTACTCCATTTTATATATGTATACATTCAAGACCTTTAACAACCGCTACCAAATGAACTAGAATCGTTACACAAATAATGCCGTATTCCAAATAAACATCTGCATTTTCAACAAAAGCCTCAAAACCGCCCAACCAACCATATATCCTACCCCTCGTACAAATACATACATACATATATAACTCTCTTCTATATAATCCCAGCACAACAAACAATCCACATAACCAACCCAACCAACACACCCATGTAAAATGAAAAAGTAAAATACAAATACACCCTGCACCACACCAAATCCAGCCTCCAAACCAAACAAACTCTCACCCGAAATACTTCTCCATCGGGCAAGCTGCAGCTGCAGAATTCCCACCCAGGCAACTGCAATCCAGAATAAATCGGCGCAGATTAAGCCATGAATAACA